GGGATGGGTGGAGCCTTAGGGGGAAGGGAAGAGGGAACCAAAGAGGAAGTGGGGGGAGGGAGGTGGAGGAGGCCAGATCTGGCGCCATGCTGAGTCACCGCCCACAAGGCCTAGGGCGGACCCTCTGGGGCCACTGGGCAGGGTGGTAGGGTCCTCGGAAGCCACTGGGAGGCCTGGAGGACTTTCAAAACAGGACTCTGGAAGAGGAGCAGGTGGCTTGAAGAGTCCACGCAGACGGACAGACAGACAGTGCAGTCACCCATAAAGTAGAAAGCACTACTAACAGCACTGGAGGGTGTAGTGTTTCCTACTTTATGGATGAGTGTACTGTGGGCTTCGGAGACCACGCCACCACCCTCTACTGCCAGCTACCATTCTCGTCAATGTCCAGGACCTTGTGTACAGGTGAGCATGCCAGAAGTCCTTCCCACTGTCCCAGACCCCCAACGGCCTCGATTGCCCCCCGGTGCTGTTCTTGCTGGTTCCCAACAACTGGGGACACCCTAAACCAGCTCCTCTGCTACCCTAAGTCTTGGGGTTGGGAGTTGGGAAGGATTGGACCATGTGGACCCAAATGCAGCTGTGGAGAGGGCTTGAATGGGGTCCAGCTGCAAGTGGACAGATGCTGGGATGAGGAAGAGGCTGAAGAAGAGGGTAGATGGAGGGATGATGGTGGTGCCAGGACCTCCACACTAATAAAGAACGAACTCTTTCTTTCTCTTTTGTCTGAGTTTCTGTTGCTGGGCCTGGGGTCTGAAAAGGGGCAGGCAGCATGCACATGGTTGGAATGGGGGCACAGAATGGCTGAGAGGAAGAATCCCTCCCATCTCCTGCGGGAATGAGTTTGGCCCTGCTGAGTTTCAGAAAGGCTTCGGTTAAACTACTAACGGTGGTTCAAACCCGCACAGCTGCCAGTATGCTTCCATAAAGAATACAGTCAAGAAAGCCTGAAAGAGCAGTTCTATTTGTAATACACAAGGTTGCTATGAATTGGAATTGACCCCAAAGGGATATTTTTCTTCTTTTAAAGTTATTTTTTAATGAGACTAAAAAAGGCCTTTGGTCACAATTGAAGGAAGGAGGGGCCTGAGCCAGGGCTGGAGGGTGGAGAGACTATCTCATGGGCGCCAAAGGAAAGAAGGCCTGAAGAGGCGGCATAATGAGGGCCTTCCTTTTACTTCTGCTCTGTATTCACTGTCTGCCCCTCCAAAATGAAGGCTGTAAGTTTAATCCAAGAGAATCTAGGGGTCCTGGGTAGTATAAGAATTGGGTACAGATATACCGGAGCATAGACAAAGCATATCGTGCATAGTCAAGGTCACAGATACTAAGATACAAACATACCCCAGACTCAGAGGGCTCACACATAGGTGCTTAGCACACATATATACTGACATTTATGATATGTCTAGTGTGAAATATTGGAGAGATACGCTCACCCAGGGCACAAACATTCAACAATCCATGCATGTGCAAAGATAAAACAACAATATTTATACACACAGGAGAGTATCCAAATATCCACAGTGACATTCACAAGAATAAATACAGTGCAAATACGTATGTGCAGTAATGGAAAGGCCAGCGGTTAAAATTCATCAATCACTCTGCAAGGAAAAGAAGCGATGGGAAGTGCCCTTCCATGAAGATTTACAGCCTTTAAAACCAAGGGAGGGTCATTATGAACCAGAACCAACTTAGAGCCATGGATATAGTCACACACACACACACACACACACACACACACACACACACACCCCAACCCAAGGATACAGGACATATAATGATACTCTTAGAGCTGTGCAAATATATTTAATGGCATGTAATGACACAGGGTTTCTCAAAAATCTGCCTGCTACCTACAGTCATGTGCTATAGCACTGGTCTGTGCGTTGCTGTACAGAGCTAACTCGTGGTTGCTGTGATGCTGAAGACTGTGACAGTGATGTGCCAGTCGTGGTAATGGGTACCCATGGTGGACAGTGTTGGCTGGAGCTTCCCGACTAAATCAAGCCTGGAAGCAGGAGCGGCATCCACTTCCAAAATGGCTTGCCTCCGGAAACTCTATGTATGAACAGTGCTCAAGCCGTTTGTTCATAGGGTCGCTATGAGTCGTCTACGACTCGATGGCATCAAACAACAACAATGACACAGGCATGTAATAGCATTTATATACATCAAGACATAGTGTCCTACAGTTCATAAATTTACAAAATGAGTCTCACACATGATACACATAGACACCAGGACATAACACAATGACGCACACAGAAACATGCATATACATTCAATGAGACTCAGACACCTAATAGCATAGATAAGTGGTGTGCCATTGAGTTGAAACTGACCCATAGCTGACCTTCCAGCAGGTTTTCAGAGGCAGTAAATTGCACAGGAGATTGCCCATCCTTCTCCATAGAGCAGCTGGTGGATTTGAATTACATGCCTTTTGAATTACAATGCAGCTTCTTACCACTAAGCCACCAGAGCTCCAATACTTATCTTTCTCTCTCTTTATCTATCTATCTATATCTATCATCTATCATCTCTATCTATCTATCTTTATATCTAACTATATAAATACCTCTATCCAATCTATTATCTATCTACTATCTATCATCTCTATCTATCTATATAAATATCTCTAATCTATTATCTATCATCTATTATCTATTATCTATCTATCTATCTATCTATCTATCTATCTATCTATCTATCTATCTATCTATCTATCTATCTATCTATCTATCTACCATCTATCATCTATCTATCTTTATGTGCCATTGAGTTGGAGCTGACTCATACCTCAACCTCCAGTGGATTTTCAAAGGCAGTAAGTCACATGGGAGTTGACTGCCTATCTTTTTCCCACAGAGCAGCTAGTGGGTTTGAATCTTGTACCACTGGGTTGGTAATGCAACTGCTTACCACTAGGCCACCATAGCTGCTCTCTATAAGTGCCCGCGCATATATTTGTTGTTGTTATGAGCTGTTAAGTCAGAACCAACTCGTAGCTGACTCTCCAGTAGATTTTGGAGGAGACTGCCCATCCTTTTCAATCAGAGCAGCTAGTGAATTTGAACCTCTTGTCTTTGCCTTGGCAGTGTAACTCCTTAACCACTAGGCCACAAGAGTGTGCGAGCGCCAGAGATGTAGCTATCCATTCTATGATGCATATAGACGTGCACATATGATGGTAGGTACATAGACTTTGACATACTTCCTGTGGTAGCACGCACTTTGATCTACACACTGCTTTAGGGAAGTGAAGGTGTAACTTCCTCGCCACGCATTGCCCCCAGTTCCATCAGCCCCTGCCCGGGTGGAGCCCGCAGCCCGTGGCCCTGTGGTTCAGTGCCATTCCCCAGGGAGGCCACACGAGGGCCCCCTACCTTGGCTGTGTCTGGCTTGTGTGCTGATGAACAGAGTCCTACTTCTCAGAGGAGTGGACTTACCTCCCTAAAGTCTCTTCAAACGCCTCTGTCTATGGGGACTCTGTCTAGACACCACATCCACAGGCTGATTCCAGGGTGGGCAAGTTCTCAGGTCTATTTTTCAAAAAGTCATTTTCCCCCAGCGAGAAGGCTGAAAGCTAGACAGAAGGTGAACTTTCCGACAGTTGGGGGCAAAGTCAGCTCAGCAGGCTCTGCGATCTCCCCTGCTGGTTAGGAACCAGTCATCCAGGGAGACCCTGGAGCAATTCTCTCCGTCTATTTCTCTCTTTTCTTCCTGTTGTCAATCTCTTGATTCCTATCTAGCTCTTTTTTTTCTTCTTATCTCAAATCCCATCTTTTCTATTCTTGTCCTTCTCCATAGCGAGATGTCTGTCTGTCATACCATCCTTTTTCTCTCCTCATTTCAGGCTGAGACCCCGCAATGTGGAGCAGACTATGGAAAGTCTGCATCCCTCTTCTCGCCGCACCCTGGAAGATGTGAGGGTGCGTGGGTATGTGGGTGAAAGGCCACATTGTAGGGGGCGCTGGGCCAGGATCCCGCGAGGAATCTACTCTTCCCTCTGCCACGACCCTGCCAGCCGGTCCAGCCCACCAGTCCATCGCCATCACCATGGAAACTAGCAGCCGACTTCCTATTGGTGGGAGGGAGGGGAGGAGGAGGGGGAAGGGAAGGCTGGCTCTCCCCCGCTCGCCCCCTATTCTGAGGCTCAGCCCTTCTCTGAGCCCAGCATCTCGGGGCTCCAGGGCTGTAGGGGACCCTCGCAGTCCCCAGAGCTGTGTTCATCGGATTAGAGATATGAGGCAAGCAGCCCATCGACCCAGGCCTCCTTAGGACAGCCTGCTTGCCAAGCCAGCAAGCAAGACCCGAGAGAGGAGCAGAGATAAAGAACCACAGTGGACCACTGGGGACCACCCCTAGGAGCTTCTTCGGACCCTCATCAGGCTGAGGGGCTGTGATGGATGACCAGACTCACAGACGCTGATGGACACACAATGACACCGATGCACAGCACTGACATGTACAGATACAACCAGTGACAGCATCTCACACTGTCACAGCCCTGCAATACAGACACCCACCCACACAGAAACAACTGACAACTCTGGGCACAGATAGTGACACACAGCACCCTCCACAAACACACACACACACACGGGGGGTGGGGGGAGGGCACCTATCCTCCAAATACAGAGAGGACTGACCCACGCAGACAAACCAGGAGATACACTCACCCAGCGCCACTGTCAGTGGCCTCTGCACATCCTCCTCGTCCCCAAGGGGATACCTTTCCTTCTCCACACACCCATACACACAGCCACGGAGCAAAGAGAGCTTGCCTGCTCCGAGAGCCAGCTCCTGCAGCTTTGACTTCTTCCATAGCCTCCCGCCGTGGGTGGTGAAGAGCTCAACCAACCTCAGATGGAGCTTCGGTGAAGCCGAAATCTCAGAGGGGACAAGGTCTGCCCTGGCATGACCCTCGCCAGCCCTCTGGTTTGGCTGGGTGATGTCCCCTGGCTCAGGTCCTGGGGTCCCTTGGAAGCACCATGGAGCAACTGACATCCTTACCACGGCTTGGGGACCCTGGAGCCATGGAGCCATGGACACTGCCTGCCTGGCGGAGCTGGACTCCAGGTCAGGGGGGCGAGCCTGGAAGCAGAGGCCCCAGCCTTGCAAATCCTCCAGCAGCTCTGAAGGTTGAAGAATCGAGGCCTGAGGAGAATTCAGAGCCTGAGGGAGCCCGGAGCTCTGGACCCATGGAGGGCACTGACTCTGACGGGGCATTGGCCAGGCTGCCCAGCACTGCACAGCAAGCACAGAGCCCTGGACCCGACAGACTGAAGCTGCAGGAGGAGGTGGAGGCGTTCCCTAAGGTAAGAGCTTTGGGAAACAGGGTCTGTGAAGTGGGGGCCTCTAGCCCAGGCACATAGCAGGGCAGAATGCACACCCCTCCCCCTCTCCTTTGCTCTTGGCCTCTTGTCTGTAGGTCTGTTTCTATGACTGTGTCCCCCCCTTTCACTGGGCACTAGTCTCAGTGGCTCCATTTTCCACCATCTGTCTGTCATTCTGATTCTCCCTTGCCTCTCTGTCTATATCTTGTCTTGGCCCTGCCTCCTTCCTCTGTGTGTCTCTCTCTGATGATCTGTCTGTATCGCCTCTGTAAGTGTCTGTCTGTCTGTGATTGCTGGCTAAGGACACTGGAGATGTGGAGAGCTGTACAATGCAGTTTGAGTCCAGAGGAAATGGACAAGATTAGAGCAAGAGAGGGCCAGGTTTGGGGTGGGTGTGAGCTGTCTGATGTAGAAGATGGAGGTACCAGGACTTTGGGGGAGGAAAGGGGACACAGGGGTCATGAAGAGCCTGGAGAGGTGGCAATAGGAGCTCGAGCTGGCATTTCCAGGAAGAGGAGAAGCTGGGCAGTGAGGGGAAGGGGAAAGCAGGGAAGACTCCAGGGTGGGGACAGGGCAGAGCTTCTCTGGGGCCTCCTGGTGCTCCTCTCTGAAGCCCTGGGGTGTGGGGGAGAACCTGCCAGCTCTGTGGACAGAGAGTGCTGCCATAGGGTGGGGGCTCTGACTAAGAGGGGCTGCTGAAGTGGGGTGCCCTCCTTTTCATGCCAGGCCCAGCTGAATGCAGGTTTTGGGGCCCGGCCCAATCTGGAGCTGCTGAGGGCTCTGGGGGAGCTGCAGCAGCGCTGTGCCATCCTGAAGGAGGAAAATCAGATGCTGGTGAGGCTTGGAGAGTGGGCCTTGTATCCCTGGTGGAGCCTAGGGAGGGCAGACTCAGACTCCTTGGCCCTCAGCCTCAGTGCTCTCCTACCCCCTGAATATCCTCCTAAGTGGAGGTCACACAGACATAATCCCACAACCTGAAGGGGTGAATCCTTCCTTGTCTTGAGTGTCCATGGACACAGTCTGTGCCTGTGAGCTAACCCAGGGGCTGGGCAGTTAGGATGAGGTCTGGAGGATGCTCCCCACATGTACCCTAATCCTACCTGACCCCTTATTAGAGAAAGAGCAGCTTCCCTGAGACCGAGGAGAAGGTGCGGAGGCTGAAACGGAAGAACGCAGAGCTGGCAGTCATTGCCAAGCGGCTGGAGGAGAGGGCCCGGAAGCTGCAGGAGACTAACCTGAGGGTGGTGAGGATGCAGGCTGCTTGGCTGGGACTGGGTGACAGGGAGGAGGGGAGCCAGCACTGACTCTGAGGGGTTGTGGTTCAGGAGTCATAGACTTTCAGCACACAGGAAAGCAGGAGCCCAGGGACTAAGGTGTGAGGGGGGCAAATGCTGGCCATTTCAGAAGCAGAGCGTTTCTGGAACTACAGGAAGGAGAGAAGAGCTGGGGAGGGAATCACCCAGACAGGCAGGGAGCAGAATCCTGGATCACCACGTGCTGGTGCTGGCTGCAGCCTCTGCTGAGCTCATCTCAGGGTGAGGAGTGGTGGAGGAAGGGATAAGGACCCATCCCAGTGACAGCCTGGAATTAGCAGCCAGCTTTGGGCCTAAATTAGGATGTGGAGTTAACCCTTTCATTCCTGGGGATTGCCAGGATGGGGTCAAATGAGGCTGCTGGTCTCCTGAGGCCCCAGACAGAGGGTGGAAGCAGGAAGCCACACTTCCAGGTTTGCATCCTAAACCCTCCTCTGGAATGGGCGAAGGGCCTGATCTTCACCAGTGACCACTGGCCTTACTCTTCCTGTGGTCAGGTTAGTGCCCCATTGGCCCGTCCTGGGGCCAGTTTGGAGTTGTGTCGGAAGGCCCTGGCCCGCCAGCGAGCCCGAGACCTCAGCGAGACAGCCAGCGCCCTGCTGGCCAAGGACAAGCAGATTGCCGCCTTGCAACGAGAGTGCAGGGAGCTGCAGGCCCGGCTCTCCTTGGCTGGCAAGGTGCGTGCGGTAGGGACCTAGTCATTCTTTCTAGCCCAGCCCTCCACTGGACTGCTTGCGTGCCTGCGTGTAGGATGTGAATGAGATGTTAATGAGATGCAAATGAGGCGGGGAGGTGCAGGCTACTCGGGAGTAGGTTCCCCTGGCAACGGCCCAGGTGGGAGCGGGGAGTTGGAGCCTGAATTGAAGGAGGTGGAGCCATTCGGTAGTCCCAGCCCTGGGAATTTCTGTGCCTTAGGCTTGAGGCTGTGCTCCAGGGGGCTTGGCTGTTTGAATCCACACACACCTCACTCCTGTGTGAAGGGATGTTCACAAGGCATTTCGAACAGGGCTGGGCACGCCGTGCGCGCCCGGCACACGAATCGCTCTTCCCGAGAATGTCTGCACATAGGCTAGCGGAGCTGCATATGCACGCACGTATGGCCAGGCATGTATACATGCGAGGATATGCATGTTCCCGCGCAGCTGAGCCCCTCCAGCAGGCGGAGGGTGCGCCCTCTTGGGTGATGCGTGGGGCAGATGGTGGCTGGCTGACTCCACTCTGCGTTCCCCACCCCAGGAAGGCCCCCAGTGGCTCCACGTGCGGGACTTCGACCGGCTCTTGCGCGAGTCCCAGCGGGAGGTGCTGCGACTGCAGAGGCAGATCGCCCTGCGCAACCAGCAGGAGCCGCTCCTTCCGCCCAGGGCCCCGGGCCCCACAGTCCCGGGCCGAGCAGGGGCGCCCGCACCTGGGGCCCCGGCAGAGGTGAGCGCAGGCCCCGGGGCAAGTGTGTGTGTGTGTGTACGTAGACAGAGGGGGTGGGGTGGAGGTGGCTCCGGAATCTCCCCCCCTCCTTTCCTAGCCGGCACCGTGCTCAGACCCACGAGGACCTGGTAAGGGATGTCCACTTGGAGGGGCTGGGAGTAGGATGCCTTCCGTCTCTCCTGAGCCCCCTACCTGCGCTGCTCCCGCCCGGTCATCCCGGGTTCCGCCCTCTGCGGGTCTGCGCCGCGCCGGGCCCGCCCTGCCGCCCCTGCCGCGCCGCCAGTGGTACATCCCGGCAGCAAATCCCCGGTTGCCCTAGCAGCCGCCCGGGGCCCAGGCCGCGCCGCCTCCTCCCTTCGCCGCCGTAGCGCGGGGACGCCCCCTTCAGCGCCTGCGGGCTGGCCAGGCCCGCCCTAGCTCCTTGGGGGCGGCGTTGCGTCCGCCCCTGCTCCAGGTACGGGCGACCCTCACTGGACTAGAGAATTAGACAGCTCCTGCCCCGAGGGCCTGGGACCCCCCCTGTGGACCCTCAAAGTCTACCTCCTTGCCATCCTCTCAGCTGGGCAGCATCTAGGTCCACCCCTTCTGGGAAGAAGGTTGGGAGGTGGGATCCCATAATGAACAAGGCCCCACCCAGAGTTTGGGGTGCTTCTTGCTCCTGTATTGCCCTTTTGCCTGGCCCAGGAAAGGTAGATGCACCTCGTACCAAGTCCATCCTCCTTTAAAGTTTGAACTCAAAAATGGGAGGTGGGACAAGGTGAGCTGGCGGACGTTCTGGGATGTGTGCGCTGCTCAAGGCCAGGCCTAGATTTGGATGCTCCAGAACCCTGGCTCTAGGAACACCTCCATGTCCCCTGGGCCTAACAGCCTCTGAATTCTCTGCTAGTCGCTGAAGGACACGCAGGACGGTTATTGTGTGCAAAGTGGGGCTGACCGATGTAAGCTAAAAAAGGAAAGCTTTGGCCTGGATAAGGGACCTGCTTCCCAGGACACACGTGGCTAGCGGGAGCTCAAAGCACTTGTGACCCAGAACGCAGGGGTCCTGCCTCTGCACTTGTATATCAGCTGGAGATATTGGGAAGGGGTGGACAGGCAGCCCCCCCTTTCTGGGCACAGATCTCACAGCTGATTGTGAGATGAGTGTGTGTGGGACCCTCCAGGAACAAGTTCAGCTGGGGCAGTGGATCCTGGGGCCCTGTCCTCAGTGCCAGCCCTCTACCTTTGGGCATTTGCAGGCTACACTCCAGGAGGATGTGGACAACTCACAGGTGGTTGTAGGGGAGCCTGACAGACCACAGAGGGTGCAGCAGCTGGTGAGTGCCTGGGCCTAGGATGGTGGAGGATCTTTGATGGACAGACATGCCCTCCCACCTGAGGAGCCCACTGGGCTGACCCATTCGGTTCTGACCTGCACAGGAGTTGGAGCTCAGCAAGAAGCGGAAGAAATGCGAGAGCCTAGAGCAGGAAGCCCGAAAGAAGCAGAGGCGATGTGAGGAGCTGGTGAGCTCCCAAGGGCCCAGCGGCCATCTCCTCTTTCCCCTAGGCTAGCCAGGTGGTGGACTTTTGCTCAACCTGCATTCACCCCTCTTGTCCTCAAGAAAATACTTTTCACTTTGCTCTGTGGACTGTCCTTTTCTGTCTGATGCCCATTCTAGGTGGGGGTTGGGGGTAGGGGGTCATAACTGGGCAAGCATGGTCCACTATGTGGGGAGACGGGTAGGAATGCTAGATCCCCCCTCCAGAGCTCCTCTACCCCCTCAGGAACTGCAGCTGAAAGAAGCCCAGAGTGAGAATGCCCGCCTGGTGGAGGAGAACTCTCGGCTCTGTGGGAGAGCCACGGAGAAGGAGCAGGTACCAGATCTGCTACAGGTGCTATGAGGGCCTGGAGTCCTGCAAGGGGTCAGCCCTCTGGTGAGAGACCTTCTCCTTCCCCACTGAACTGGGCTGGGGTATGAAAGACACTGTTTTCCCTAATGAGAGACCAGAGGAACCAAGCTCACAGCCACAACCCTTTCCAGGTGGAGTGGGAGAATGCAGAGCTGAGGGGCCAGCTCCTGGGGGTGACAGAGGAGAGGGATTTGGCCCTTCGCAAGAGCCAGGGCCTGCAGAGCAAGCTGGAGAGCCTGGAGCAGGTGCTGAAGGTATGGAGACCGTGTTGGTGGAGACAGAATTGGTCCCTGGCACAGGGAGAAAACAGAACAGTGGAGCATGCTCATTCCTGAGGTCTGAAGCCCAGTTCTGCTGTCTTTATCACTTGTTGGCTGTGGAATCTAAGTTTAGCATTTTTTTTCTTTGTGTAGCCTCAGTTTCCTTTTTCATAAAAGGTGTCTAGAACAGTTTCTGAGGCTCCCTGCTCTTAGATCAATAGAAATGATGGAGCGGAGGTGCTGGCCTTGACCCAAGATCTTGAATTTCAGCACATGCGGGAGGTGGCCCAGCGGAGGCAGCAGCTGGAGGTGGAGCATGAGCAGGCTCGGCTCAGCCTGCAGGAGAAGCAGGAAGAAGTCCGGAGGCTGCAGCAGGTGAGGACAGGGCCTGGGGGTGGGGCAGGAGTGAGGGTTGTGGTAGAGGTGGTAGGCTGCTGGACCCCAGCTTGGTCATCCACCCACTTATCCAACAAGTCCATTAGAGCAACCAACAAGCTGAACAAAGGCGAAGTTCCTGACCAGTCCACAGGTAATCAAATCCAGGAATGAGATGGTTTTAGACACAAGTATGGAGGACACTTGATATGGTGGTGGACAGGGTGATATGACAGGGAGTGATGTCAATGGGTGAGGGTCCACCTTAGAGAGGTGGTCAGAGAAGAAGGTGACAATGGAGCTAATCCCTGATGGGCAAGAAGAAACCACCAAGATCTAGAGAAAGTATTTCAGGGGACAGAGGTGCAGACGTCCTGTGGCAGGAAAGAGCTTGGAGGGTCTAACAGCAGTGTGATAATAACAGTAAGACAACGAAGGGCGGACAGAATAGTAGAAATTGGCAAGCACTGGATCAAAAGCCACAGAAATAATTTGGATATTTTATTCTATGGATGCTGTGCTGCAATCCTGAAGGCACGCGGTTCGAGGCCACCAGCTGCTCCATGGGAGAAAGATGGGCAATCTCCTCCCATGCAATTAACTGCCTCTGAAAACCCGCTGGAGGGTCATTTATGAGTTGGTTCTGACTCAATGTTACACAACAACAACATTCTTTGGCTAATTAGAAGAGAGTAGCATGATCCTACTCTTAATTTTAGGGAGCTCTTGTGGTATAGTCTGTAGGAAGTTGTGCTATTAACCCAAAGGCAGTATCTCTTTGGTAGTTAAAATCCACCAGCTGCTCTGTGGGAGTAAGATGGGCCGTCGCCTCCTGTGCGATTTACATCCTCTGAGGGTCAGCTACGAGTTGGTTCAGACTTGACAGTGATGAGTCTGTGTTCATCCATAACTTTAGAAAATCATTTGGGCTTGGTGTGGGTGGAGTATGGAGTGCGGGAGCCAGCGTAGAGGTGGGCCAGTAGTCTTCAAGAGGCTGTTCAGAACCAGCCAGATCTTCACACTCTGTCCTCAGCCTGTACTTACAACTCATGATGTGCAAACTGCAGAGATTGGCCAGAAGCCTTCAGGACTTCTCCCCAAAGAAGCCATGGGAAACTGAGTACCAGGAATAGGACTGGAATCAGTCACTGAGCTCCCAGAGAGCTTTTGGAGATTAAAATCTGACTTTGACAAGCACTGTGGCAATTGGACAATTAAAACAGACATTCGGATGGCGGGGGAAGAAGAACAAACTGGGGAGGAGGGTAGAGAGAATGGTGCAGCAATGAAGGAATGAAAACCCAAAATCCCTGTAAATTGTTCATTAAAACTAATAAAATAAAAAAAAAATCTCATCTCATCGCCATCAACTTGGAACCAATTTAGAACTGACCTTCTAGTGGGATTTTGGAGGCTGTACCTTGCAAGGGAGGAGACTGCCCACTGTCCTCCCGTGAGGCACCTGGTAGATTTGCACCATCAGAGTGGGGAGGCCTTCGGGTTAGCAGCCCAACTCTCAGAGACTTTGTCACCAAAGCTCCCTGCCTGCGATCAAGGAGGCAGCTATCCTTAGAGAACACAGAAGTACTGGTCCAGTAACTAAATGATTTCTATAAAAGCAGCTACGTTCCCTCACAGTCCCGTCTCCTAAGCTTCTCAGGGCAGAGCACCAGAGCTCTGGTGCCTGGAGCCATGAGGGTTTAAAAGAAACAGGCCTTACCTTGCCCATCAGAATCCGATTCCAACAAAAAAGTCATGAGGTGATAGTTATTTCTGGAGGGTGGGGTATGCAGGGGTCCCTAAGTGGCATCAACAGTGAAAATTCTCTAACTGAAAGGGCAATAGTTTGAGTGCACCCAGAGGTCACTCAGAGAAAAGGCCTGGAGATCGACCTCGGAATGATCAACAACTGAAAACTCCTATGGAGCTGAGTTCCATCCCAGATGTAGGACCTCGTGTAGGAGGAGCCACTCAGTAATGGCCACTGGATTTCTGTTACTGTTTTCTTGTCGTTGGCTGGATGTGCTGGGATCTGCCCTGGTGGTTTTCAATGTCAATATGTGATCCAATAAAACCAGGAGTGGGGTGGAGAAAAAAAAAAAGAGGCTGTTCAGGTGGTCTAGACAGGACACGATGGTGTTCTGGTCGAGGGTTCAGGCCATGCAGGTGGAAACAAGAGAATAAATTTGAAATATATTAGCAAGACTCACTGTGGGATTAGAACTGAGTTCCAACTTTGTCACCCATTTGCTGTGTCACCCCTTTCTGAGAGAGAGAGAAAGAGAGAGAGAGGTCTCAACTCAAGGATAGCACTGATGGAGTAGAGTGTAGGTATAAATGAGACCCCCTAACATTCACATGGAGCAAAAGAGGTGAAGCCGACCCAAGAAGCTGAGATGGAATCTCCAGAGAGGAAGGAAGGGTGACCATTCCAGAGAGAAGCACTATCAGGTCCCACCTCTCCCTGACCTCATGTTTTCTGGTGGGAGATGAGGAGTGGATGTGCAGTGTCCCTTCTTCCCTTCTCCCCCCCTCTCCTCTCCCTTCTCTCTTGCACCTCCCTCTGTCACGCCCTGTCCCTCATCCTGCCTTTCTAGCATTTTGCCTCCTCCTATTCACAGGCCCAGGCAGAAGCCAGGAGGGAACATGAAGGGGCCGTGCAGCTACTGGAGGTAGGGACCCCAGAGATGGCCACCAGGTCCACCCCAGGGGGAAAGGCAGGGATCTTCAGATAAAGCTGGAATGGACTGTGTATGTATGTGTGGGGGTGTGTGGAGCCCCAGGAGAGGCACTTAACCTCTACAATATCTTGGGGATCCCTTCCGCCATTGATCTATATCTCAGGCTGGGCCATGACTAGGGCAAGGGGGCTCCAGAATTTGATTGCAGCAGCTTTGGTGGCCTAGTGGTAAGAAGCTGTACTGCAACCCCAAAGGCCACCAGCTGCTCCTTGGGATGGGCACTCTCCTACTGTGCCATTAACTGCCTCTAAAAACCCTCCAGTGGGTGAGCTGTGGGTTGGTTACAGCTCTACAGTACACAACAACAACAACGAGTCTCCCTCTGCAGCCTGGCCTACCAGGCTGCTTTTACTCTAAAATATTCTTCCATTTAAGACATTCTCTGTCAATCGAGGAAGCCTGCTGCTTGGAGATGTGGCCCACTTAGACCCTACTACTGTTTTCTCTCTGGGTAAATGACCTGTGGACTAGGAGTTCTCACCTTTTTTCTCTGCTTTCCTTTCCTGTCACAGTCTACCTTGGATTCCATGCAGGTACAACCTCCTTATTCCTCTGTCCCCCAGGCTTCCTGGGTTTTCCCTCCTCCCTACCACTCCATGCTGGCTGAACTTCAACTCCTCCCTTGAGGCCCAAGTCATCCCAACTGTCATGTCCATCAGAGGAGACTGGCAGACCAACAAGTCATTAGAAGGCCTGGGTCGCTATAGGATATGTGGACCATTCCCCTCGCTCTAATTCTGCTCCTAAGCTTGGTAGATATGGGCTCTTCCCCTCTTCCAAAACCAAGCCATTCAGGCCACGAGGAAGTTTACTCAGTCTAACTCATGAATCTTGATACTGGCTGGGGGTAGGGCTCTCCTGATACCTGAGGATATTTCTTAGGAATTGGTCTTTTTCTATCACAAAGATGTCCCTAGATCCCCTGTAGAATCTCTTGCCCCACCTCCCTGAGAGCAGGGATTTGGGTCACTGACTATAGGAGGTGACAAGCAATGGGGCTGAAAACCTCCAGAGGTGATACTGGTTGTGGTGATGGGGGTGGGAGCTACCACTTCTGGCCTAGAAAGCAGGCAGGAGCAGGAAGTGCAGTGTGCCTGGGGCTGAGGTATGAAGAATGTGAGGCGGACCTTGGGTTCGAGAGTGGTGGAAATAGAGATGATCCTTAGGCCAGGGTGACATGCTCTGCTCAGTCACCATTCAGGGCCAGGGAGCAGCCAGACCAAGGGTTGGGCTCCCGATCTGGGAGCTGGAAGCATCTTTGACAAGGACTGGGTCTGGGCAGCTCTGCTGGGCTCTGGACTTACTGTGTGTGGGTCTTGGTCCAGGCTCGGGTTCGCGAGCTCGAGGAGCAGTGCCGCAGCCAGACTGAGCGCTTCAGCCTCTTAGCTCAGGAGCTCCAGGCCTTCCGCCTGCACCCTGGCCCCTTGGATCTGCTTACCTCAGCCCTGGCCTGCAATGCTCTTGGGGACCGACTGCCACCCCCTTGCTGCTGTTCTTCCTCCCAGCCCTGCCGGGGGTCCAGCTCCAAAGGTAAGGTAGAGCTCAGCTCTGGGGCTCTCAGAGACGTAGGCACCCAAGGTATAGAGCAGGGAGTTCAGGATCAGAGACGGCTAGCCATGCACCTGAAGTCACACAGCAAATTAGAATCTGAATTTCAGAATCAGGACCTGATGGGAGGAAATTGAGCCCAGTAGTGTGATTGTCCCTGAGTCTGGACCCAGGCGTTTCAGCGTCTGCTCTTCTCTTTGCAGAAAGGCTTCTATGGTCATAGATAGGGGTTGGGCATGGGGGTCAGGTGCAGGCAAGACAGACTTGACTGTCACTTGGATCCTGGGTACCTGCTCTACCAACTTTACAATTGGTATCAATGGGCCATAGTTTCCTAATACAAGGATCATGAATGTACCTCATCAAGCTTCTGTGATGATCATGTGGAATCACATATGCAAATTACACACAGACCTGGAGCTTAGCAAGCCCCCTCCCCCCAATATACCCCTTCTTGCCAGGAAACCTGGCTGTGGAGGGCTTGACCCCCATATCCAAGAAGCTCCACCCTATCTCCCTGGTCCCTCCTCAGGCCACAGACCCCCAGCCCACGTGCCATCTTCTCTTTAGACCTTGACCTCCCACCGGGCTCTCCGGGGCGCTGTACCCCCAAATCTTCTGAATCTGCCTCTGCCACCCTTGCTGGGGCCCCTCGAAGGACAGCTAAGAAGGGAGAATCTCTCTCCAACTCCTCTCGCTCTGAGTCTGTTCACAACAGCCCCAAGTCCTGCCCTACACCCGAGGTGAGTGCTAAGGAGGGGACTTGGAGTTCTAGCCTTGTGTTGAGACAGGAAGGTTGGGAGAGGGAAAATTTTACAGACACTCTTCTAGGGTCCCTAAGAGTTGGGTCTCAAGTTGGGAGGTAGAGGCAGACCTAGGGAGAGAAACACCATGAATTCTTCCTTGTCTATCTCATCCCTGCTCTCCAGGGCCTGCCTGCAAGTCTTTCTTTTGGGCCACCTAGCCCCACCCTCTGGGACCCAGGGAGACCCTAGAGTCCTGGGCTGGGTGGAGGGAGACACTTTGGCGCCAGCATCCACATAATGAGACTGTTCGTGAGAGAGTCTGTAGCAGAGGTAGGCAGTTGTGAGAAAGAACGCAAGTTAGAGGATTTAAATCCCAGCTTTGTCTTAAGCCATTGGCCCTTAGGGGACCCTGGTTGCCTTCTCTGAACATTGGAGCTAAAACGTGCCTAGTAAAATTGTTGCGAGGATGCCCTAAACAAATGCAATGAAATGCTTTGCTCAGTGTGGCACACACAGTAGATATTTATGCATTGGCAGCTATTGTTCGAAGTTCTCGTTAGAGCATCACTCCCAGCTCTTCAAGGCCCTGGTGTAGGAGGCGGGCGGGGGGCAGGCTGGGAAGCAGCCCTGTCGTCCTAGCCGGCGGTAAAATCCGGCGCCAGGCCTCTGCTGCCCCCTTGTGTGAGAGAGTGGTGATGCTGGCTCTTGGGTGCCATCATGGAGGAGCTGCCCCTTTCTAACCTAACTTTTCCCTTTGGCCCAGAGAAGAAAAAATTGTTCCTCAGGCTGGCTCCAGAAATTTGATCTAGGGTCAGAAAAGCAGAAGTTCTGAGTTCCCAGGCTGACCCACAGAAGCATCACCCCAGGGCGAGAGGCACCCTTCTCTGCCCTTCCCTGCCCCAGCTCTTCACTTCAGAGCCGCTTTATGATCCAAGGACACCCATCTGACACCCACTCCACAGATCTGGCGCTGTTTGAGCTGACTTGGGGCAGTAGGGGCCAGGGTTTCAGGAACATTCCAGGTTATCCTGCTGCCTTTCCTAGGGCACCGAGTTGGCTCTGCCCAGCTCTAACCTGGGAACTGATTTAGGAAGCATCCGTGCTCCTGGTGGCTGTGCTCAGCACGTGCTCACTTCTCCCAGGCAGTGATCCTCCACTGGCTTGACCTGACAACCTGCCTGCTTTGCCTTTGGCCCAGGATCCTGTGAAAGACCAGCCCTCTGTATTTTGTCCCCAGGTGGATACAGCCAGTGAGGTGGAGGAGCTGGAGGTGGACAGCGTCTCTCTGCTCCCAGCAGCGCCGGAGAGCACTCGGGGAGGAGCCCGGATCCAGGTCTTCCTAGCACGTTACAGGTGAGCCCCTCATGCTTGGGATCCTTCCCTCAGTACTTAAGACTTATAGGGGAGGGGACCATGTGATTGAGATGCTGGGTGGGTCCAGAGATCCCACTGGATCTCTTAGCTCGGCCAACATGCTGCAGAGAGCACTTTGCTTTGCTGAAGATGAACAAGCCCGTTTCCATAAAGGCCTGATGCAGTGGGAGAGAGAAGACAGGACGCGGAGGTGGGATGTAGTCACTGACTTCCTCCTCCTCTCGCCTCCCCCAATAGCTACAACCCCTTCGAGGGACCTAATGAGAATCCAGAGGCAGAGCTTCCGCTGACTGCGGGGGAGTACATCTACATCTATGGCAACATGGACGAGGACGGCTTTTTTGAAGGTAGGAAGGTAGTGGGCATCATTCTGTTAATCCCCTCACCTTTAGCATGTTTTTCTTTTTCCTTTTTCTTTTGGGGGGGGCTTTAATCAATAATCATGTATCTTTTTTGGTTCATAACTTATAAAAAATATAGTGATAAACCAGCCTCAAAAGACCTGGAGGTTCTCATTACCCTATCCTGGGAAGATGGTGATCAATGCCTTTTCAAAAAAAAAAAAAAAAAAAAGCTAAAAAGGAAAAAAAAACCTGGTGATATAACAATTTCAAATTAGGGCAAATTGAGTATGGCTTACGTGGAAACTTTCTTTTATTATTATCTTAATTTCTCTGTAAATTTAAATCTGTTATAAAAGTGAAAATATATGTATAAATGATTGCGTGCTAACATTGAGAAAACAAATTCGTTATATTTATGTACATGGATGTATAATTACAGAAACATCAGTGTTACATTGGCCAAGCTCTACACAATGCTTCGATGTCAGTGTGTTCTTTATTTTTTTCCCTTTTTTAAAAATTATTATTAAATTTTATTAGTTTTAGTGAACATTTACAGAGATTTTGGGTTTTCATTCATTCATTGTTGCACTTTCCTTTTTTAAATTGAGATTTTAATGAAAGTTTATAGAGAACTTGGATTTCCATTCATTTATAGTTGCATATTTTCCTCCCTTCCCATCTCTCCTCCTTAGTTTGCTTTTCTCTTTGAAAAGAAAAAGAAATATTTCATTGTTATACATTGCCTCCTCCTCAGTCCACTTTACTATGCAGCTCTTATTCTGGACTCCTGTCATGCAAATAATACCTAATCATAAATTCCTTTTAAGCAGTTCTCTGCCTCATCTGTTTCAATGCCGTGTACATTATTTATACCCTCTTTTCTTAGTTAGGGCTCCAGTCTCAGCTGTGTAGGGAGGTGGTTTGTCTTAGTGGCGAGGTACCCGACTTTAATCTCATCTTCTTTGGTGCTTAATCTCACATGACTCAGAGCTGCTGTAACAAATTACCGTGACAGAAGTTTATTCTCTCACAGTTTTGGAGAAGTACCAAATCAAGGTGTCAGCAGGGCTTACAGGGAAATTCCAGCTCTTGTCTGGTGTAAGTTCCAGGGGCGCCAGGTGTGCCTTAGCTTGTGGCTGCATCACTCCAGTCTCTGTGGTTGCACTGCCCTCTCCTCTCCACCATTCTCTCTCCTTTGAGGGGGTGGGTCTCTTATAATCCATGATGAGCTCATCTGGGAATTCTTTGGTTAATTCCATCTGCTGAGATCCTTTTCCAGATAAGGCCTCCTTCCTGGGTTTGGAGAATTCTCATCTCTTTGCCACGGAGCTGAATTGACTTGTAGCCGACTTCCAGTGAGATTTTGGAGGCTGCAAATTGCATGGGAGAGGATTGTCCACCATGCTCCTGTGGAGCAGCTGGTGGATTCGAATCACCGAAGCATTGTGCCCTCTGGGTTAGCAGTGCAGCAGCTCATTGTGGATTACATCACCAGAGCACCCTTCTAGGAATTTGGGTGTGGATTTTTCTTTTGGGACCACCATTCAATCCACTAGTGTTTATTTTACTAACTGATTTAGAGGGTCTAATCTCTCCCCCCCATTTTTAAGATCCCTTACATAATTTTCCTTTCAGCATTAATAGTTACAGGGAAAGGGGAAAATTAATTATTGTGAGGAAACTCCCAGGCACTCCTGCAGCTAAAGACCTGCCTCAGCTCACTTTTTGGCTGTAAGCCCTGCCATGTGTCCTGTCTCTCTCCTATTAGTAAGGAAGGGACTGTAGCCACCAGCTTGGGTGTTCCCTGGGAATTTTTCCTTCCTCCAAATTGGCTGTGACATGACTTGTTCTGTGCCAGCTTTCTTCTTCCTTGACATCCCTCAAACAAACAACTACAACAGATGTCTTAAAATGCTTTATTGTCAGCCATGCAGGAGAACTGACACCAGGTAATAACTTTCACCATTAGGTGCAGTCTGGGTGGCTGCTAGGTCACGTTCCAACACGGAGACTAATCCCATCTAGAAGCCTTGAGTGACTCTTCTCTGGCATCAATGTCTTTTGCCTCTGAAGATTCCTTTCCTCATCCTGACAAGGCCACGTTCCTCTTCCCCTTTGTAGATGTCTGATTTCCAAAAGGAAGCTGAAGGACATCTCCACCCCTATTTCTTAAATATATAAAATCCTACCATGAAAACTCCAAAGTCAGTTGTTTCTAGGTGCTGTTGAGTACAAACTCATAGTGACCCTATGAACAGCAGACCTGAGCTCTGTCAGATCCTGTGCTCTGGTGGCCTACTGGAAAGAAGCTACACTGCCATCTCAAAGGTATACAGTTCAAATCCACCAGCTGCTCTTCTGGAGAAAGATGGGCATCTCCTCTCATGCTATTTACTTCCCCTAAAAAAGCCACTGGAGGGTCAGTTATGAGTTGGTTCCAACTAGGGAGTATAGAAGAACCAAAATCAGTAGCATTTAATTTCTCATATTGGCCTGTTCACGTTTTCTAAAATTAAAAAAAAATTATGTTGGTTTGTTTACAAATTTGTATACATTGTGTTTCATACTATCCTTCATTCACAATGTATTTAATACAATCATTCCAATTCATTATATTTTATAAAAGTAATCAACATGGAACTATGTGCACCATTGCCCTGTCTTTCCAGATCCCTGCCAGGTCTTTTCCAGTTCTTTTCTCACCCCTCCCTCCATCCATCAAATTGTGTGACCCTGTGATTTCTCCCCTGCCCATCCTCACCCTTTGCTCCTACCCTTCTGCCCATGGATTCTTATAAGTGTTTTACTAGTTATCTTTCTATGAAATTTTTAATAGAAAAATTTTCAAATGTACTTCTCTTTCTTCTTTCTCAGTGTTGCTGAATTGAAACTGACTCATAGCTGGCCCTACATTGGGTTTCTGAGGCTGTAAATTGCATGGAAAGAGGTTGTCTGTCATTTCCCCTTGGAGCCTTACTTCCTGTAGATCCAGATTTCCGGAAGTGCCACCTGGGGGTTAGTGGTGCAGCTCCCTGCAGACTGCACCACCAGAGAGGTTAAATAGTCCAGTGAACACCTGTATACCTAGAACCCAGATTCAACAGTGGGTACCATTTGACCATATTTGCTTTGTTCATAGGGAGCTTGAGGGAAAGTCTATAGTGCGTTGTACTACTAACCCAAAGGTTACGTGTTTCTCATGGTTCGACTCCACCAGTGAGTGGCTCCTCTGGAGGAAGATGAACAATCTCCTCCTGTGCAATTTACAGCTTCCGAAACCCAGTGACTGGTCACCAAGAGTTGGAACGGATTAGGCATTATTAGTGAGTTTAGTTTTGGTTTATCCCTATGTAGCTTAAAAAAACCCCAACAGAACAAAATGGAGATTTGAAAGCAAGTTGCCTATCTTAAAACGTTGATGAGAATCCAACCTGTATCTCCTACATCCTTGCACCTCCCACATCCTCACCACACCTGGGAGCCTGTTACAAACACAGAATCTTAACCTCACCAGATCTACTTAATTAGGATCTGTAGTTTATCAAATCTCCAGCTGTATCAAGAACACATTAGAATTTAAGAGGCATTGTTGGGTGATCCCTGGATAGCATAATTGACTAAATTAAGGACTTAATTACTAACTCAAAGGTTAGCAGTTCACAGAGAAAAGACACCTCAGATGAAAGTCCTGGCAACCTGCTTCTGTAAAGTCACAGCCTCAAAAACCGTTTGGAGCCGTTTCTACCCTATAGTGCATGGGGTTTTGCTCTGAGTTGGAATCGACTCAAAACCAAATAGTTTGTTGTTTCTTCTTTTATAACCACAACACAATCACACCTTATCATCACATCCACGCAAATAATGATAACTCCTTAATATCTTGATGGCACATGTCCTTTGAAAGCACTGACAGGTAATTGTTGGCTTGTATTAAATGACTGAGATCATCATTGAACATGGCTCAAGTGAATTTAATGGTTGGGTTTTTTTCTGTCTCTCTCCTCTCCCTGTCCTTGTTTTCACTCAACCAGGGGAGCTTATGGATGGCCGAAGGGGCCTGGTTCCTTCCAATTTTGTTGAGCGTGTGTCCGACGATGACCTCCTGACTTCCATCCCTCTGGAACTGGCTGATTTGTCACACGGTTCTGGCCCTGAACTCAGCTTCCTGAGTGCAGGTGGGGGTGGCAGCAGCAGTGGGGGCCAGAGCAGCGGGGCACAGAGCCAGGCTCGATTGGAGGAGGATGATGCAGGTGATGAACTCAGTCTGAGCCCCCCACCAGATGGCCTGGGCGAGCCCCTGGCTGTGCCTTACCCCCGCCGCCTGGTGGTCCTCAAGCAGCTGGCCCACAGCATGGTGCTGGCCTGGGACCCACCCCCTGAGCGAGTGGAGCTGCGTGGCTATCATATCTGCGTGAACGGAGAGCTGCGGCAGACCTTGGGGCCTGGGGCGCCCCCCAAAGCTGTGCTCGAGAACCTGGACCTACAGGCTGGGCTTCTCCATGTTTCTGTCCGGGCCCTGACCAACCGAGGCAACTCCGACCCGCTTCGATGTTGCCTGGCTGTGGGTACCCAGGTGGGGCCTAGTAAGCTTCGAGTCCATCGACTGACAGCCACTTCTGCTGAGATCACCTGGGTGCCGGGCAATAGCAACTTGGCCCATGCCATCTACCTCAATGGGGAAGAGTGCCCACCTGCCCGCCCCAGCACTTACTGGGCCACCTTCTGCAACCTGCGACCCGGCACGCTCTACCAGGTCCGAGTAGAGGCTCAACTCCCACCCCGAGGGTCCTGGGAACCAGGCTGGGAGAGGCTGGAGCAGAGGGCTGCCACCCTGCAGTTCACCACCCTGCCAGCAGGTGTGCAGACCAGAGCACCCAGGGATGGGGCCAGGGGGTGCACTGTCTATACCACCAGGAGGCTGGGCCATGAGCAATGGTGAACGGGGAGTCCTGCTCTTGGTAGATTGGGCTGGCGTCACTGGTGGGTATTATTGGACCTTGTACTTGTCCATGCAGGCCCACCTGATGCCCCTCTGGATGTGCAGATTGAGCCAGGGCCCTCCTCTGGAATCTTGATCATCAGCTGGCTCCCAGTCACTATTGATGCTGCAGGATCCTCTAATGGTGTCCGGGTCACAGGCTATGCCATCTATGCAGATGGGCAGAAGGTATGGGCGGTTTGCAGCATCTTCTCGATATTCTGGAAGCAAGGTGTGGCTCCTACCTCTCTCATGGCTTGGCAGTGGTAATCAACCCTGAGTGATGGGCCACTGTGGAGCAAATTAACAAAAGCTTAGCTTTTGGCATCAGAAGATGGGGATTTGAATATCACACATCACTGATACCTAGGAGACTGAGATGAGATAAAGTGTGCAAAGGCTTAATGGTAGCTGGGTCTTCAGTCTCCCTTACCCATCCTCTCTCCCCACTGCAGATCATGGAGGTGGCCTCGCCTACCGCAGGCAGCGTGCTGGTGGAGTTGTCCCAGCTGCAGCTTCTGCAAGTGTGCCGAGAGGTGGCCGTGCGTACCATGTCTCCCCACGGCGAGTCGGCTGACTCCATCCCGGCCCCTATCGCCCCAGCCTTGGCTCTGGCTTGCCTGCCAGCCAAAGTCTCCTGCTCCTCACCCCGACCAGGCTCAGAGCCCAGACCACCTCTTGCTCCAGCCTCCCCAGGGCCTGGAGACCCTAGCTCTCCTCGCCGGCACTCTGTTCTTCCTGCACCTCGAGAGCCCCCAGGGGCCCCTCCAGCAAGCCCTTCCAGTGAGGCAGCAAGAGTTTCCCAAGAGGAGCCTCCAGCATCTTCTTCCCAGGTACCCTGGGCTGTGGGGGCAGGAAGAGCTAGTGGACACTGGGGGAAGGGCCTGGGGCTTGAGGCCTCTCCTCAGCACCTGCCATTGCAGGAAGAGGCCAGGGCAGCCATGCAGGACATGTTGGAGGAGAAGACAGTCAACAAGCCAGCCATGGATGTGATAAGCACTGAGCCTCAGGCTTCTGAACTGGCCCAGAAAGAGGCTGAGTGGAACCCAGGAGGGGTCTGCCCAGCACCCTGCTCCACCCAGGGGACCTTGACTCAGCAGGCACCATGTATGGAGGCTAGCCAAGGAGACACGGAGTCTGGGCTGCAGGCCGGTGCTGAGGTACAGGGCTGGGGAGACTCTGTGTCATCTCAAAAATGCGGACCACTTCTCCGCCACCTTTTCCCTGTTCTCCACTCTGGGCTGTGCTGTGTGTCTGGCCTAGTCTGTAGAGAGTTGCACTGCTAATCCAAAGGAGGTGCCTTTGAATTCACTGGGGCTCTGTAGGAGAAAGATAGACAGTCTTTTGCTGTGTGATTTAGAGCCTTGGAAACCTGATGGGTCAGCCATGATTGGTTCTGACTTGATGACCATTAAAGTTTTGAAATCTCCATGTTCTCCACTTTGGTCTGTGCTGTGTGTCTGTCACACTCCCGCTGCCCCCATTTCTCTCTCCGTTTTTGCTTCCATCTTCCTCTTGGTTTCTTTCCTGCCTTGATATCCAGGAAGCCTCCCCTGTACACCCCCACCCCCTACCTGACTATGGCTCTCTTACCTCCTGGCTGGGACTGACCGTGCCAAGACCCAGCATTCCTTACCACCTCCTCCCATTGGTCCTCTTACAGACAGAGGAGCCGGCTGAGCTGAGGGTGCGCCTGGCCAACTCCTTCGTGGACCACAGTCGCAACTCAGATCTGTCTGACATCCAGGAGGAGGAGGAGGAGGACGAGGAGCTGGGTCCCAGGCCTTGCTCTTTCCAGAAGCAGGTTGCTGGCAACAGCATCAGGGAGAACAGGGCCAAGGTAACGGGGTGTAGAGGGACTGGTGGGCCCTAGACCTCAGCTTCTGAGGACCCCTCCACCTTTGTGTCAGTCTCTGAGTGCCAGCAGCATTCTAGGTGTGTGGCCTGGGACAACAGGTGTTGTCCTGGGCAACAGGTGTGAGAATCGGGCAAAAGAGGAAAGGAGGGGGCATTTTTCCATATTGCCCTATGATGCCAGATGCAGTGTATGGACAAGGTGGAGGGGGGCCTTATGCTTGGAGCTTCTGAATTGGGGTGTGGTTTGGGGTTTGTCACTCCTCTTACAGGCATAGCCTTTTCCTTGTGTGTCCCCCAGGGACCTCGTCCTGGGGTGTGTCCCTTCTTCTTCCTCCAGCTTGGCCCTGGCGACTTTGAGCATGCCCCTTTCTGACTGAGGCCTTCTCTGCAGCAGGGAAGGAGGGGAGATTATCCTGGAGGGAGCTGAGGGCAGGCTATGGGCTTGCACCAACTCCTGTCCTTATTTGAGGACAAGGATCTCAGCTCTCTCCTCTTCCCTACGGCCTGTCTTCCTGCTGCTCCCCACCTCCAGCCCCAGCCGGACTCCTCCTGTGAGACCGACAGCGATGAGGAGATCTTGGAGCAAATCCTGGAGCTGCCTCTCCAACAGTTTTGCAGCAAGAAGCTCTTTAGCATCCCTGAGGAGGAGGAGGAGGAGGAAGAGGAGGAGAGACTGGGGGAAGCGTGCTCCTCCCGAGTCCCTAGCCTGCCTGAGTCTGCATTGCTGGGGCCTGGCTGTGATGGCCTTCAGCCCCGAGGACCTGGCCTCTGTCCCTTGTCACCTGAGCCCTCCAGGGCCGGAGACCACCTGGAGGACGTGCCTGGACCAGTTGGTGGAGGCAGCCGAAGGAGAGGAGGCGGAAACCTGGAGAAGCCCCCAAACCGCAAGCGGCCCCCAGACCCCCGTGAACACTGTAGCCGGCTTCTTGGCAATGGCGGGCCCCAGCACTCTGGACGACCAGTGCCCGCAAGGGAGAGGGGCGGCCTCCCTGTGATCGAGGGGACTAGGGCTGGACCAGAGGCTGGTGGGAGAGGGCGGCCGGCCCCTTCCCGGAGATGCCCCCGTGGCCGGGCCCTGGAGTCTGGCTTAGCCAGCTGCCTGTCCCCCAAGTGCTTGGAAATCAGCATTGAGTACGATTCTGAGGACGAGCAGGAGGCAAACGGGGGCATCAGCATCACCAGCTCCTGCTGCCCTGGCGAGGAGGAGGCCTGGAGTGGGGCACATGTAGGACGATCCAGGGGGCCTCTGAAGGCCAGTTCAGTCCCCAACCCCTACCCACGCCTCCCAGCCTGGGAGAAAGGGGAGCCCGAGAGGAGAGGCCGCAGTGCAGCAGGCAGAGCCAAGGAGCCACCCTCCCGGGTCCGTGCCCACTCCTACCCGGGGCAGCCCCCTGCCTGCTGCTGCCTGCGTGCTGCCGCCTGGTGGCCCTGCTTACTGCCCACGAGCTGCTCCCATTCCACGCTGCCACCTCCATCAGCTGAGGTGGAGCCCGGCCTCCGGGCCCCCCTCTCCTGCCTCCTCCCACCCGCATTCCACCGCTTTGCTGCTTCTGTGGAACAGAACTGGGGCGCACAATATTCTGTTGCCTCTAATTGCCAGTTGCCGCCAGCCAGCCCCCTGCCCTCTGGTGGGGCAGCGCTGTCCTTGGTTTAGCTAGTTACATCTTCAGGACACTGACTGATGCTAAGTCCGACGTCACCGGCCCTGACCTTGACACGAGACACCCCTCCCAAAGGCTCCAAGAACTGGTCCTAGAGCTTAGTGCCCTCTCCTCCACTCATCTACTGCGTGGCAGCGGGGAGGCTGGGCTCCCCTCCTGCCTGCCCCTCCCTGTGCAGGGTCCATCACCTCCAAAGAGGTGAGGCTGAGGCTCCAGCGAAGAATGTTGTGTCCCTGCTCTGCTGTGCTGCTTATGCTGGAGGGGCAGAGCTGGGGAGCGGACATGTGTCCTGCCTTTGCAGATGTGGCCGCCGGAGGGACAGCAGGTCATTTTTGCTGTCTGCTGCATTCTTTTTGCAGGCAACAGAGATGGCGGAGCCCAGAGGGCAGGACAGCTCTGGGCGAAGGGGCCCCCCTAGGAGAGGGACCCGAGCCCTCAGACCAGGTTCCAGTGAGCTGGGTGAGCACCTGACGGGGATGGGGCAGGGCAAAGAGAGGCCTCTGATGACCCTTTGGCCAGAGCTTATTACAGTGCTTTCCTTTCTTCGCAGTCCCTCCAAGGAGCCCCCCAGAAGAGGTGCTGGCCTACCAGAGTCTCCCTCTCAGGGTCTTTGTGGCTCTGTTTGACTACGACCCGGTGTCAATGTCACCCAACCCAGATGCAGGGGAAGAGGAGCTCCCCTTTCGGGAGGGGCAGATCCTGAAGGTGACTCTTTGGTGGCCTCAGCCCCTCCTGTACCCTTTTGGTCCTTGAGGTAACAGAGTGTTGTGGTCCAGGGCGCTGCTTCTCGGGCCAGGAGATAGAGCCATGGGCTCCTGGCTTTGCCACTTCTAACTGGCAAACCTCAGATACATTCCCTGATCCCTCTGTGCCTCAGTTTCTTTACTGGGAAAATGAGGATGATATTGGTGTCTACCGGATTGGGCAAGTTTTTGATCTGTGGTTCATAAAGTCGCTAAGAATTTTTTTTCTTTTTTCGCTATCAATTTTTAATGACAACCAATAACCACTACCAGACAGGCATGTGTGTGCTTTTTCTCCCCCTCCTTCCTTTTTTTTCTCTGAACAAAGACTTTATTAAAACTACACTATCTAAATTGATAACTGTTGGGTTAGCTCTTCCTTCCAGATGCATAAGAAAATCTGTGACACGTAAAACAAAATAAAGACTGTAGACAGGTTTTGGGGGAAGGTGAAGTGAGAGCTTTTTGAGATGTAAGGGAATGGGTACTGTTGTTGTTATGTGGCTTTTTGTTAAAGTAATATTAATTACAATTGATGAATGTCTTTTATCATATTGCCTTATCAAATCCTCACGGTACCTTGTATATCCCTTCCCACTGTTCACCCATCCACTAATATTTACTGCCTGAGTACTTTTCTCCTCCTCCTTCATCTCCCCCCCTTCCCCTTACCTCTCCCCATCTGAACAGTTATACATGTCCTATTCAGGGTTATTTGAGGACTAAATGGTCCAGTAAATGCAAAAGCCCTTGAATTTCTTGCATTAGCTCTCACTATTTGCCCAAGTGTTTATTGAAGGCTTTTCACAGCTGCTCCCAGAGAGGTCTAGCCTGGGATGGGCCGAGAGGGAGTGGATATACAGATATGATGATAATGTGAGAAAGGTCCTTCCCTTTTTATCCGCGCCCCCCCCCCCCAGTCCTTATACTTGGTAGTCCAGGTGGGGTGCTGCTGTGTTTGGGGCAAAGAGTTCTGGGGAAGAAGCTGGACAAAGGCCTCCTGAGACAGCTGGTCTCCATCTCCAGGTGTTTGGGGACAAGGACGCAGATGGCTTCTACAGAGGCGAAAGTGGGGGCCGCATCGGTTACATCCCCTGCAACATGGTGGCAGAGGTGGCTGTGGACAGCCCTGTGGGGAGGCAGCAGCTGCTCCAAAGGGGTTACTTGCCCCTGGATATCCTCCCTGAGGGCTCAGGTATGACCTGCTCCTGTCTCTCACCCACCTCCCACTGCCAAGTTCCAACCCACGTCCGTGCTGAGGATTTTGTATGTCCAGAATGGCCAGGGTGCCTCATTTATCCAGTGCCCAGCAGAGCTTCCGGGCCTTAGTCTGTGAAGACTGAGAAAGGTGTGGCCTTGCTGTGGGCCTGCCGGGTGATTTACGAGTACCTTGTGGGGGGCTGGGCCTCTGTAGAATGCTCTGATGCTCCCCAGGTATTCGGGTCCTGGAGGCTGGGACGGAGCTGGGGTATGGCCACCCTTTAAAAACCTGACCCAGGCCTGAGGAGATCCAGTGTCATTGTCCTGATCCCACTTCCCCTGCCTCAGCTTCTCTCTGATATCTCCTTGTCTTCCTGGATCAGGGAACGGTCCCTTTGTGTACTCCTCAACCCGCACGGCTGGGCCTCCTCCTAAGCCACGTCGGTCCAAGAAAGGTGGGTGCAAATTCTCCCCCCTCTGTGAGCATGTGTGTGGAATGGGGTGAGAGCAAGCACCACTTGTTTCTCTTGGAGTTTGGGGCAGGTAAAGGGTATCAGAGTAGACTGCCACTCATTTCCGTCTGCCCAGTGGTGGGCTTAGTCTGGTGAGGATTGGGGCAAGGAGAGGGGTGATTGGTTAGGGCCTTGGCCCCAAAAAGCCCTTGACTATGAGTTCTGTGCAGCCTGAGCTATGTATCCTGCCTGGACTTCAGTTTAACCCCAAACTGAGCTGACATGATCCTTGAGAGCTCTCTCTTCCATATTCTTTGTGGGGGAACCGATCCTGAGCCGCTCACTCCATCCCACCCCATGGCTCATACACACTCTTTCCACAGCTGAGATAGAAGGCCCTGCTCTGCCCTGTCCAGGTGAGGGGTCATCCCTCGGCTTTGGGGACTGGGTAAAGAGGTAGCATGGGCTGAGGATGGAATGGGGTGGGGTGCAGTCTAGAGAGAATCCTGAACCTTCTCTCCTCCCCCTGCAGGGCCCCCCAAGCCAGTCTCTGCGGACTTGAAAGCTCCCCGCCCCATGGTGGCTGCATTTGACTACAATCCCCGGGAGAACTCCCCTAACATGGATGTGGAGGTGCGAACCCTCAGAGCCACAAGAAGGGGGGTGACGGCAGGACCACCTGTTGTTGACATCTGTCCTTGGTCTCCCCACAGGCAGAGCTACCCTTTCAAGCAGGGGACATCATCACGGTGTTTGGGGCCATGGATGATGATGGCTTCTACTACGTGAGAACATGGGGTGCACTGCCCTCCAATGCATCAGCCCCTTCCCAGAGGGCTCTGGGGAGGGACCGGGCAGGCAAGGGGTTCTTAAGAAAAGCCTTTGCAATATGTGGTCATCTCCCATGACTGATTTTCTCTGGGTCTGAGGGGGCTCAGGAGGAGGGTGTCCAGCATCTTTTCTTCCCTGGCCTCAGTTTCACCATGTCCTCTTCAGGGTGAGCTCAATGGACGAAGGGGTCTTGTTCCATCCAACTTCCTGGAAGGTCCTGGGCCTGAGGCAGGCAGCCTGGACAGAGAGCCTGGGACCTCTCTGACCGAGTGTCAGGTCAGTGAGGAGCTGGGCTCCCACCTCAACAGTGTGATCCCTGTGGTTCTGGGGCAGTGGGAGCTGGAACAGTCTTGGGAAGGTACAGCTGGGGTAATAATACAGGTGAACCCAAGCCAGAGGGTCCCCAACAGAGGCAGCTCCTGTCCTGTAGTGAGGAGATGGTGTTCATGGCCTTGTTGACAAAGAGATGATGGCTGCAAAACCGATTCCAGGTCATTGATCCCACTGACCCCGGTACAGTACAGTGCAAGGGATGGGGACAACCTGTGGAAAAGGGCCCCCTCCACCCCCTATCTCCAGTCACAGCACCAGTCTCAGGCCCTCCCTCTTGCCACCCCTCTGTCTTCCATGTGCTTTCCATTCTGTAGACTTTTAAAGTCAGTTACCCAGCAAGGCCTGACTTCCTGGGGCCAAACTCTCAGAGCATGCTTCTTCTTGGAGTGGATGGGGTAGAATTAAGGCCTCCAGCCTCAGAGGGCTGAGGGAGGGTGTGGGGGCCAGGTCCTAATGGGGAACCTCCTGCATTAGTTCCAAACACAAGAGCTTTCAGAGCCCCTGTGACTGGGATGACTGGGTGGAGAGCGGACTCGTCTGTCGGTAACCCATCTCCTCTCTTTGTTCCCTGTTCTCAGAGAATGAGGAGGAGAAGAGTCCAGTGCTAGATGGAGATAGATATATGTAGAGAGAGCAACATGTAAGTGGGGGGACTGCCCCCCCTACATCCTGTGAAACCGCCTACTCCCCTCTTCACCATAATCAGATAGTGTTCCTCATTTCAGTCACCTGGGCTTGTCTGGCTCTTTGGCTTTCTCCCAGGAACGGGGCAGGGAGACCTTGCCTGGAGCCAGATTTGAGTATAGAATGCCTCTCCATCCCTCTGTGTTCCCCTTGTCATGCCTTTTCCCAGGGCAGTACCAGCTGTCATGGGAATACATAAGCCATCCAAGTATGTTATGTCTCTTTAACTGACTCCTCATATTCTATAACATATACAACTTATAGAATATTACATAACAATTCACTAAGAGTATTATGATATTATATGACTATAGTATTATAATACTGGGATTATTATTGGTGATAGATGATGCTAATGTCATCAGTAATAATCTCCCACCCTTGTCCTCTGCATCCTGACCTGGTAGGTGATCAGATGCATGGTTTTACTTCCCACTCTCAATTTTCTTTGCTTTGAAGGATAGAAAGGAGAGCTCAAGTAATTGGAATCTGTAGTTAATTCCAAACTGTTCTTCTCTGTGACTGAGAGCCCCTCCTTCTGTTTTTACAACAATCCCTTCTTCCTGGCAACTGGGGAGGGACTCCTGGGAAGAGGTAGGAAGGATCTGGGATCTCACAAGAGACCCTAAGATCTCAGCCTGGTCTTGAAGTTCTGATTAGTTAGTAGATAAATTGACCTCATTGTAGTTCCATCCTGATACATCCCGGGCCATGGGGTAATTGGGACCCCAGGCTGTGCATCATTTCCAGTCGCTGGCCTGGGCACATGGCTGATTCTGGTGAAAGGACGCCATTCTCTGGGCAGCACATAAGAGTTTGAGGAACACATCCAAAAACTTCTCCAGTAGGGTAAAAAGGGAAGCCACTGACTGGGAAAAAGTATTCGGTAATAACATATCAGATAAGGGACTTATATCCAGAATTTATGAAATACTTGAGCACCACAACAAGATAAAGGTAAATAATCCAATAGAAAAATGGGCACAGGATATGAACAGGCACTTCACCGAAGACGACATTCAGATGGCTAACAAACACATGAAGAAATGCTCAAAATCCCTAGCCCTAAGAGAGATGCAAATTAAAACAACTATGAGATATCATTTCACCCCAGTCAAAATAGCAAAATTTAACAGAACAGCAAGCAACAAATGCTGGCGAGGTTGTGGAGAAACTGGAACCCTGATTCACTGTTGGTGGGAGTGTAAAATGGTGCAACCCCTGTGGAAAGCAGTATGGCGCTTTCTCAAAAAGTTGCAAAAAGAGATACCATTTGACCCAGCAATTCCACTACTGGGAATATACCCTGAAGAGACCATAGCTGACATCCAAGCAGATATATGCACACCCATGTTCATTGCAGCTTTGTTCACAATAGCAAGGAGTTGGAAACAACCTAAGTGCCCATCAACAAACGAATGGCTAGAGAAGCTGTGGTATATTCGCACAATGGAATACTATGCTGCATTAAAAAACAAGGAACTCATGCAATATTATTCAAAATGGTTGACTCTGGAGAACATTATGCTGAGTGAAATATCCCAGTCACAAAAGGACAAATATTACATGATGCCACTGTTGTAGAATGGGACTGTCCTTGGGGTTGGGGAGAGACTGAGTAAGATGGGTTCAATAATGTATACTGCACTGAAACAGAGGAGGGAGAGAACCGTTTAAAAGAGAGATGTAACTGGGTGTTTCTGTCATCACAGGAGACTAGAACGAGGGCTGCATGGTGGAGGGGACCTGGGGGAGGGTTTGTAAAACAATGAAAGAATCTTTTCTTTTACTTTTCCATAAAAAAAAAAAAAATAAAAAAAAAAAAAAAGAGTTTGAGGAGAAGGAAGAGAAATGCTTGTGGGCTGACTAGGGCCTGACAGGATCTGCAAGCACAGGAAGAAGAAGTCAAACTCATTGCTATACCTCATTGCTGTGCCAGCCTTCTAGAACAGCTAGAGCTGCTCTGTGGGTTTCCAAGGCTGGAATCTTTACACAGTTGATGGCTTCATCTTTCTCTCATGGAGTGACAGGTGGATGCAAACCACCAACTTTTTGGCTAGCTGCCCAATGCTTAAGCACAGGTCACTAGGGCTCCTGCAGGCACAAATGTCCACATGGGAATGTTGGTGGGGTGGCTTCCTGGTGGGTCCTGCCTGTCTTGAGACCTCTTAGGAGCACTTAGAGTTTGGGAGGGTGTGAGGCAGGTGGGACAGCTCAGGCTGCGGATGGAGGTGGGAAGAGATTGAATTCTGGAGGGGATGTGAGACAAAGAAGGAAGAGGGTGGGCAGGGTTGGCCCTGCAGCGGATGGTGAGGGCTGAGTGATGCAAGTGACTGTGAGTCTCCTCTCAGGGTCCATTCAAGGGACAGGCGTGGTCCCCATCTCCAGCTGCATGCCCTCAAGGCTCTCGGGCTGGGCTACTTGTTGGCACCACCTGTGAGGTGCTGCTGGAAATGCTTGCCTGGAAGTGACAGGGGTCTCAGGGGTGTCTCTGCCTCCTTTCTCTGGGAGAACAAGTAGGAAGGTGTTGAGAACTCTTGTGTGCAGTTAGCCAGCATACTGTTGTGAGACACAGAGGAGGGAAAGGTCACAAGTAAGCAGAAAGCAGGATTGAGATGCATCTGGTTGGACTCCCAGCTCGGTGCTCCCTGCACTCATCCCACCACGTCACTTCTCTGTGCTCTGTGTATTGGGCTGGGCCATAGAGGAGAGGGGCTCTGGGTGTCTGCTATGTGTCTAGGAGGTGGGAGTCTCATGAGGTTGTGAGAAAAAAAGTCAGGATGGGCGGGCCCTGACTATGTGCCTTTTCTTTCTCTCCCAGGACTGGACCAGCCCACCACCAGGGCGCCCAGGGCTCCCTGGCTGGCCCCGTGCTCATGGCCCAGGCAGCTCATCCAGGACTGACCTGGGGGAGCCACAGGGTACGAGGGAGAAGATGCAGGGCCTCCTCTCCAAGGGGAAGCAGCTCCTCAGGAAACTGGGCTCTGGGAAGAAGGAATGAACTTGTGACCCATCCTGCAGACAGAAGCAACCCCATGTAGGTCCCCAGAGACCTCAGAAATCTGCTGGGACTGGGCAGGGAAAGCCTCTGGCAGGGGCTCCTGTTCCTTAAGTTAACACTGTGGCACTCGGAGGGCAATCAGAAACTTGTTGACGGTCAGAGCTAGACAGGCCCTTAAGGGTGAGTCCCCTTGGGGGGGTGTACCTTCCTCTTACAGAAGAGGAAACTGAGCCTCACAAAGAGGAAGTAACTTGGCCGCAGTCTCCAGACCTCAGTCACAGAGCCAGGGCTGCTAGTTAGTGCTGTCCCCACCCCGCTTCCCTAGGCCATCTGCTGGTCCTCCTCACTCCCAAAGTGGGGAGCCTGGGAGAGAATGGCCGGCTCTCCCTGAAGGCTCTGGCCATCCTGATCGCGTGTCTTCCCTCCACTGAAGGAAAGTTTGCACTGGATTCACCCAAGCCCCACCTCCCCACCGGGCGGGAGGGGCAGAGCCATGTATATATGTACATACTCAGTGCCTCAGCCCAGCTTCCTCCACCTCGCTCCCACTGCACAGGCCCCAGAAGGAGAATGGCCATGCCAAAGCGGGCCTAACCCCGCCCCATAGTGCTCCACCTCTCCTTGCCAGCCCAGCCTCTGGGCCCCCTGTGTGTCTGTCCCCAAAGGCCCAGGGGTCTGCTGGGCAGAAAGCAGGAGTTGGGTTTGCCTTATTTTGCTCATCGGATTCAACGTCTCTTTTGCATCATTTTCCTCTGGTCCCCATCAGGGTTTGGGGGCTGGGGGGAAGGACAGACATACGAAGTTATTTTCATACATTCCTTGTTTAGAGGGGGGTAGGGGGCTCCACACCATTGCCCTAACCGCCCCACCCCTACCCTGTGGCTGGGTGGATGTCTCTTTGCATGTTTCCTCTGCTGTGGTGGGAGATTGTTTGTTTGACTGAACTCCACTTCTTCTCCAGTCTCTAGGGATGAGGAATTGTGGGGACAATTGTTTTAAAAGACATTTTATTATAATAAAGTCTATTTTCACAAATTTTATGCTGGACTCTATCTGGGGCAAAGGATTCTTAGGTGGGGTGGCTCACACTGAGCTTTGAACCTGACTTCAAAACCCAAAGTTACGTGTAAGGGGCACATGTGTGGCAAACACTGTTTTAACCCCAAGGCAACCAAGCAGCTCTTGTTCCTAAGAAGGGTAAACAGCTCCCGGGCCCCTGCGGCCCAGACACAGGTATTTGGAATTAGAACAAAATAGTGGAGGGAGCCATAAGCTTCTCAATTGCTTGCAATGCATCAGAAAGTTGGACAATGACTAAGCATGGCCAAAGAGATGACTCTGAGTAAAGAGTATTGATTCAGCTCAGACTGCCAAGAGAACAAACCAATATGTCTGGGAGAAAAATGCAGCCAGGGTGCTCCTTGGAAGCAAGGGTGGTGAAACTTTGTCTCATGTATTTTGGGCAGGCTGGTAGGAGAAGCCAGTCCTTGGGAAAAGACATCATGCTTGGAAAGGTCAGCAAAAGAGAGGAGGACCCTCAACGAGGTGGACTGACACAGTGGCTATAACAATGGGCTCAAGTGTCTGAGATGAAGAGGATGTCACAGGACAGGGCCAGGCTCATTGTTCATGGGGTCACTATGAGTCTTGCCTCTGCAAACTCTATGGACTTTGATAAATGTCAGTAATTGTAGAGGGACCTCAGGCCTCTTGTTCATAGGGTCGCTATGAGTTGTGCTCGACTCAAAGGCAATCAGCAACAACATGAGTCATAGACGACTTGACAGCAACTAACAACAATAACAAGTGGAAGAAGAAGAAAGACCTAGGAAAGGGAAATGAGAGAGTAGGGCTCCATTTCGATAGAGTGAATTGAACGCGGGCTACATTTTTTTTCTTCCTCTTCCAAATTCACCGGGGAGCTCTGGTGGCTTACTGGTTAGGGATTGTGCTGCTAACTCTAAGGCAGACAGTTCGAATCTACTAGCTGCTCTGAAGGAAAAAAGGCAATCTCCCATGTGATTGACAGCCTCTGAAAACCTGTTGGATGGTCAGCTATGAGCTAATTCTGACTTAATGGCTCATAACAATGCACCAAAAGCTCATCTCCCAAAAAAAGTTAAATCCCCAAACAACCCACTGCTGTTGAGTCCCTTCCAACTTGGAGCCCCTCCATTGGGCTTCCGAGGTGATAAATCTTTACAAGAAAAGACTTCTCACTTTTCCACTTCTGATCAGTGCAGCACATTACTCACCATGGCACTAAAACCCCTTATAAGTTCAGTCAATCACTCGCTGGCAGTGAGCCAACGCCAACTCAGCAAAAACTTCCATCAGGTTTTTTAGGCTACAGATCTTTATAGGAGACTGTGCATCTTTCCCCCCCTCAGAGCACCTGATGGATTAGAACTGCCAGCCTCATGGTTAACAGATAGATAACAGTCTGTTATGCTGTGTACTATGCCACAAGTAATTAAGAAACACACAAGCAAATCACAGGCTCAGTACCGTGGAGTTGGAAACGACTCAGAGGTGACCCTTCAGTGGCTTTTGGAGGTGGTTTTGAACCGGAGAAGATGGCCCATCTTTTTCCTGTAAAGCTGCAGGTGAATTCAAGCCTTGAAAGAGGGGCCGCCACATTTGGGGTAGCAGTGCAAGTCTTTATGGACGTGCCCTGGAGCTCTGTAGAGACATACTGTTGTTGTTTGATTGCTGAGCAGGAACCACTCATAGCTGACCTTTCAGCAGGTTTTCAGAGGCAGTAAATTGCATGGAAGGATATTGTTCATCTTTCTCCATTGGAGCAGCTGTTGGATTCAAACCACATGTCCTCAGATTGGCGGTGCAGCTTCTTCCCACCAGGTCACCAGGGCTCCCTCACAGATTGTATGTTGTTGTTGTTGTTGTGTGATATCGAATTAGAACTGACTCATAGCTGACACGCCAGCAGGTTTTCAAAAATCATATGAGAGGAGATTCCCCATCTTTCTCCCACACAGCGTGTGGAGGATTCAAGCGACCTGTTTTGGGTTGGTAGCTCAGCTCTTAATCATCAGGCCAGCAGAGCTCCCTTACAGACGTGATAGAGGTAACAAAACCAGAATGAACACTATGTTCACCTTCACCTGAAAATAAGGGAGATTCTCAGCATGTTCAAAACAGCAGGATTCCAGAAAAAAAAAAAACCAGATGGAAAATAATAAAAAATCTACAGGGCAAAGCAGAAAACACGTCAGGGGGTAGAGAAGGTAATTCAGTGTTGGTTGCAGCAGAATTGCCAGAAATTCAAGCCAGGTTCAGAAGAAAATGTGGGACCAGGGATATTATTGCTAAAATCAGACAGATTTTGGCTGCAAGTGGAGAATACCAGAAAGATATTGATCTGTGATTTATTGACTATACAGAAAAAGTCAATGGTGTGAATCATAACAAATTGTGATTAACATTGTAAAGAATGGAAGTCTGAGAACATGTAACTTGTGCTCATTCAGAAACTTCATAGATTAAGAGATAGCCCTTCAAACAGAGCAAGGGGATATGTTGTGGTTTAAATTCAGGAAAGATGGGCATCAGGGTTGTATTACCCTTGGGCTATATTTACTCAATCTGTATGCTGAGCAAATAATCTGTGAAGCTGGACTGTATGAAGAAGAATGTGACATCAGGATTGGAGGAATGCCCATCAACAACCTGTAATATGCACACAACACAACATTGCTTGCTGAAAGTCAAGATTTGAAGCATTTACTAAAGAACAAAGACTATCTTCTTCAGTATACATTACAACTCAACAGCAAGAAGACAAAAATCCCCACCACTAGATCAATAGGCAGCATGATAGATGGAGTAAAGATTTAAGTTGTCAAGGATTTCACTTAACTTGGATCCACATTCAACAATCAAGGAAGCAGCAGTCAAAAAAAAGTCAAATGACCTATCTCATTGGGCAAATCTTCTGTGAAGGACCTTTTTAAAGTGCTAAAGAGTAAGGATGTCACTTTACGACTAAGGTACATCTGACCTAAACCTGGTGTTTTCATATGCACATAAACATTGAATAATGAATAAAGAAGACTGAATAAGAATTGCTGCCTTTGGATTGTGGTGTTGGTGAAGAGTATGTATATACCATCAACTGTCAAAGGAAGAAAGAACTCTGCTTAGGAAGAGGTGAATCTAGAACGTTCCTTAGAGGAGAGGATGGTGAAACTTAATGGCAGATACTTTGGGCATTGAATATGTTATTAGGAGGGCTGAGTTCCTGGAGAGACACACTGTGGTTGGTAAAGTAAAGGATCAGAGAAGAAGAAGAAGAAGAAGGCCTATGATGAGATCAATTGTCATAGAGGCTGCAATCATAATAAGCTGTGAGGATGATGCAGCCTTGGCAGTATTTTGTTCTGTTGTTCTTACTATTGTGGAGACAGAACTGACTCTAAGGTAACTAACAACATGATGTAAGTGAGGCAGGAAGCAATCTACAGGATTCGGTTGTATTGTCATGAGCCAGTCTCTTCTGAGGTAGAAAAGACATTAAACAAGCAAGCAAAGATTAGAGGGAGATCCGACCACCAAGAAAAAGGAACTGTGAGCAGACAGAGCACGTCCTTTGGGCCTAGGGTCTGGGCTGAGAAACTCTGAGACCCAGGGGGAAATGGAGGAAAAAGACTTTCTCCCAAAGCCATCAAAGGGTGCCAGGTTTCTCCTACAGCCAGCACCCTGAATTCAGACTTCTAGTCTCCTAAACTGGGCGAGTAGGTTTTATTTGTTAAAGTAATCCATCTGTGAGATTTCTATTATAGCTACACTAGATAGGATAGTTTTCCTGGTAGCTATCTTTCAAATTTCTTGGTAAAGACAAGGGAGCACTTCCAGTACTGCATTTCTGTTGAATCATCCCAATTAGTATCTCATCAGTTCTGGACCTTCCGTTGCTGTGCAGCTTGACCTTCTTCCTCATAAACGACTTCCTGAAATGTTCCAACATTGGCCTTTTGTGT